AAACCCCTATTCCTACTAGGTAACCACTCGGGTTAATAGCCAACAAACATTGGCGAATCAAGGGGATCAGCCGGCCTCCGCCGCCTAGTACCTCTACTACTCAATCTAGAGTGTGACGGAGACTAAGTAACTCCTATGTTAACTTATGGTCACTCCCTCAAACTTAGTATGGAGCCTAAAAGGTATGAGTCGTCCGCCTGTTTTTAGCAAACAGGGGCTCTCAACCACTACTCCTGCTAGGTTAACAACTTATGAGTTAAAAGCCAACAAACATTGGCGAATAAAGGGAAACAACCGGTACCCGCCGCTTGATACCTCTACTACTCAGTTTCTTGACAACTAGGTAACAATCATGTTTACTTGGTCAGACAACTTTCCTACTTGGTTAAATTTACAAATGACAGGACCGCCTGCCTAAAGGGGATCCAATCTTTAAAATAGTTCGAATACCGATTGGATAAATGGCCGACTGATCGTCTAGCCTGGAAACAGACAACCAGTCGTCCAGGGGCATAGGCGGCGTGACTAACTATCCGTACCTGTCTGCAACTATCGGCCATGTAAAACAGTCGGTATAGTGAACAATTGGATATCAGAATATTCAATACTTAGACAAATTTGAAGCAAAACAAAAAATTCATTAAAAAGAAGCCGGTCATTAAAGACCGGCAAAATATTCAGAGCCCCGGCCCCCTGGCCGGGTAAATACAAAACAAACGGCACGCAGGCCGTGGAAAGAATACATAAAGCTTAAGAAGGGGGCAGATCTTCAATATTAGCAGCTGCCGCCTGGTCAGCACTCTTCTTGCTGGACTCGGCTTCAGCTGCATTCTTCTTTGATGCATTACCCCCAAGCGGCACAAGCGCCACTACCGGCTCCTCCTCCTCCAACGCTTCCTCCAACGCCTCTTCCTCAGCAGCCGCCAGGATCTCTTGATTATATGTATCAGAACACTGGCGGTACGTTTTTTCCCATGAGGCAAAGTCGGCATTGGGGAAGAGGCGGCCCCAAGTCATGCGCTGGATTTGAGCAGAGTCTTCCATCATCTCCCGGACCAGCTCTTTCTTTTCTTGCTCGGCCTTTTCCGAGAGCTCCTGAGTAAGACTCTTCTCCTAGGTCACCAGGCGTTCCTTTACGTTGGCCAAAGATTTCTCCAAGGCTTCGTATGAGTACATCTTTAGGCGAAGAGGTTTCAGCTCGGCCTTGAGATTGGTGATGGTCGCCTCCAGCTCGCCATTCCTCTTCTGGGCCGCCTCTAACTGAGCCCGAATAGCGGCGGTAGCCTGCGCCTGATAATAAAGAATATCAATGGTCAGAACTTCATTTTGGGCAATTTGAAACATTGCCTTATCACAGTCAGAGGCGGCCATAGCTTTTGCAGCCTTTACCTCTTTGTTCTTCCGGTCAAGCGGCTTGCGAAGGTCGTTCACTCGGAGCAGGGCCTAAGTAAAAAGGAACAGGCGTCATTTTCCAAACAAAAAGAAAACAGGCGACCTGGAATTCAAATACTCAAAAATATGCTAAGTATACCTCAGCAAGGACCCCTGCAATCCCGTCTAGGTCAAGGGTGCCGACACCCCTGACCGCCTCCCTTTCAGCTGGAGGAACGGCCCTGATCATAGACTTGGCCACCTCTACCAAGTCAGGCTCCTGAGGGCCGGCTGCATCAAGCATAAACAAACGGATTAGACCTAGTAAAAAAGGGGAGCAAGTCTAAAATTTACAAGGATAACTTCATACTTCTAGGCGGCCCAGCTGGAGTTTTAGAAGAAGTGGCCGGCTGTTTCTCAGTCGCCGCATGTTTCCTGGCAGAACCAGGAGAGCTCGCAACAGTCGTCCTCCGGGCCTTGGGGTCCGGCTGTTGGGAAGAAGAAGCTCTTGGAGCGCCCGTCTAAAAAAGAAGAAAAGAGTCAGTATATGCATAAACACAACTCCAAAAAGAGGGTGAAAGGTTCGAAGCCCACCAAGGGTGCCCCCTTCTTGGGGGAGTCGGTTGAAGCTTGTTGCATGATGGAGGCCCGCAACATGGCCGCCGCAGTCTTGGAGGCGGTAATTTTGCTCATGGCGTCCGCTGCAAAAACAATTAGCAAAGTTAATACAAGTCATAACAAGAAATGCATGAAACAACAGAGTATTCGACAGGCCGGCTACCTCTTGAGCACCGACTGCTTAGGCCACAGGCGGCCAAAAAGTACTCGTCGTAGAGCCATTTGAAGCTCGGGACGCAGTGCAGGGGTACTTGCTCTCGTACCCCAACTCATACCCATCTAAGATCCGCTGAACAGCCGGATGTAGTGGGAAGCGCAGCCCAGCCTTGATGGCCGCCTCGTAGCAACCAAAGCAGGCGCTATCATAACTGGTACCAGCCGGCCAGACGACTGTGTCTTCTGGATCCGGCACGAACACTAAAAAGCCGGGGCCCATTGTGTGGTTTGCGATAAAGCTCTCCACTTTCTCTTGCATGGCTGTGATCCGGCCCCGAGGTACCGTGCAGTAGTAGGGGGTATTTTGCTCTCGGTAAGAGGCGGATGGCTCCGCCCAATCGTCCCCTTTCTCAACTGCGTGAGAAAGCCTCGCCTCTTGCAGGCGACTGTTTTTCTCTTCTGTGTCCAGAGAAGCATGGCCAGAAGAGCTAGACTCGAAATCGTCCTCTAACGAGTCCGAAGAGGACGACTCCTCCCCTCTCCCGGAGGGGCCCGCCTCCTCTCCTTTAAAAGGAGCAGGAGAGAAAGAAGAATTGTCAACTGAAAAATGGGAAGGGGTCACTTTGACTCCTCCCTCAGAACTGCCGGCTTCCAAGCCGCTTTGTTTCACCTCCACATCTGGCGCCTGGTCAGATGTTTCACTAATCGGCACCCTGTGGGAGGAGCCGTCTGAGTTTGAGATCCTGGCAGTCTTTTTTGTTCTGGCCATCATGCTCTGCATAGACACAGATACAGTCGGACTTTGTATAAAGGGCAAAGATGGGTCCGGAAAAGGGCAGGCGGCACTCCTAGTCCTAGATTCAGCCGTCCCCGGTGACCGGCTGATCACTAACCTAGGTCGTGTCGTGTGCTTCCGTGGTGCCATTTCAAAAAAGAATAGAATGAAAAGAAAATTAAGAGTAAGAGAACCGACAGTTACCTGAGCGAGTGACGATTGATGAAGTTCTGAAAATCCTTTGCAGTCGGCTTGTCAGAACAGGCGGTAGGCAGAAAAGGCCCAAATTGTCAGAGCAAGTTCAGGGGTCCGAATGTTCTCTCACAAAGTTCTCAAGTGTGAAAATGACTGAAGTCAACACTCCCTTACATAGGCGAAGTAAGAAGGCGAAGGGTCACTTTCAGAATTCAAAATTTGTGCGGGAAAATCTCTCGGCCTTTCGCCGACTGACACCTGTAGCAGGCCGTCGCCTGTTACAGTGCGACACCTGTCACAGGTAACACGTGACCAGTCACGTGCCACCTGTGAAGGGCAAATGATTAGGGGATTTTGCTCCCACCAATCGGAATGCGCCACGTGGGCCAATCAGGTCCTGCCAAGTGTCCCCCAGTTGGAACTGTCAGGGCTTGCCACGTGGCACACGCTTATTCGTCCACCTTGGACCTATTATGTCATGACACGTGGCATACTCCATGCCTAATGGAGAAACCGGCCACCCAGGCCCAACTTCCGAGGGAAGCCCAATCAGCCCTAGGTTAACCTAAGCCTAGGATGGGCACGTTTCCCAAGGTTATAAATACCTCCCTTAATCCTCATTAAGGAGAGATTACATGATTTACGCTAAAAACTCACATTAAACACTCTCACCTAGAGAGACCCAATCACTTTAATTTCCGCATTAATTACTCCTTAATCAAGTACTAACTTGACCGTTGGAGGCGGAGCTCCCACCACCAGGAGTCTCCGTTGTTTTGCAGGTACAGGCGTCCGGTTCCAGTCTCGGAATTGTAACTCTCCCGCAGGACATCAGGAAACCCCGAAACACTTGCTCCATTTCTTCATGCGCGGAATTTTAGGAGAAATTGGAGAAAATAATAATATATGGAGGTAGTGGGGTATGTGGAAGAATAAAAATTTGTAAAAAGAAAAAGTAGTGGAGATGATTGGAGGAGAGAAAATATGTGATGGGTCCATTAGGTGAGAGAAATTAGTTAAATATTGTAAAACTTTCCAAATAAGAAAATGGAACAAGTATTTAAAAACAACCGAAAAAAGAAAGTGGAGCAAGTATTTTAAAATGGAGGGAGTACTAGCTAGAACCTTCTACACAAGAAAACCAAAGCACTTGATATATAGAGGAGCCCCAAATCCTAGCTCATTTGGAACTTGTTTGATCCGTCAAATGACTCATCATTGTATTATTGTCAATGTGGTGTTCATTGAAAATCTTTAGCCTTTTAAAAATAATTTTATACAAAGGAATGAAGGTCGTGGCCATGGGCGGAGCCAAAGGGGGGCTGGTGGAGGCCCGGCCCCCTGTGGCCCAAGTGGTGATATATGTAATGTTTAGTTTGGCCCCACTAGAATAACTAATAAATAGCTAATATTTATCAGGTTCGATTCCCCACTTTGAGCGTTTTTTTATTTTGTTTGATAATCTATACCTATACTTAGTATTTAAAAACACAAACCACACATTACTCATATGCCACATGTCACCACAAATTAATCATATGCCACATGCCATCTTCTTTATCAAAAAATAATGTTTATGTCTTTATGCATTCCGTAACTTGCAAATTTAAGTAAGGAAATTAAATGTTTCAACTACACCAAAATAAAGTGGTAGTCTTTTCATATCCTAAACTTAAAATAAAGTAATAGTAAAAAAAAAAAATTGAGTTAAAAAAAAGGGGCATTCCGAGAATTGAACTCGGGACCTCTCGCACCCTAAGCGAGAATCATACCACTAGACCAAATGCCCATTCTTGTAGCATATTCTCTCATCAAAATATATAACCTAAAATTCTTTATAATGGGCCCGACAAAGTCCTCTTGTTCCTCGGAATACTCAAATACAAAATCTAATATAGAAATCTGACCCAATTTACCATCTGAAATCGCAAATTCATCTCCTTCAATTTTAGGGTTCTTACCAAAATCCAAAAAGTTTGAAAAAAAAGGGGAATTTTCTGAAAATGGTTGGAGCATCATCAACTGGAATGTTCAAGTTTTTGAAGCCATCTATGAGACCTCAACCTACTGATATCAAAGCCGCCGTTGGTTGGGGTGTTGCTGCCGCCACTGCTGGCCTTTATCTTGTTCAGGTTTTTCTCTTTCATCCCTTATTATTTTGTTGATTTTTTTGGTTAATTTGATTGAAATTTGAATTTTTTGCGTGATTTTTCATCTGGGTTTTTTTTATTGAGTGGGATTTGTTTGTGGGGTGATGAAATCCTTTTGATTTTGGTTTGATAGAAGTTGGGATTAGATCTGATGGGTGTGAATTGATTTGATGCAATTATGTGTATAATTGTTTTGCATTTTTGGTTTGTTTTGGGTTGATTTACATCTATAAAGGTGGGTAGAAAGTTAAGGTTGACTATGTTCGAGTAATTAATAGCAGGATTGTTGAAGAACTTTTTGGGTTTAAATCTTTGGGATTAGTTGATTGATTAAATGTTGATATTGGTTTGCATCATGAATTGCATGAATTATGTAATAGGGTTCTTCTAATTTACGAATGTGTTTGATTGGACTCTTTGATTTGTGTTTATGTATTCAATACTAGTGGTGAATCCTTGACATCCCAACATCGGTATGGATACTTTGACACTTATGAAGATGGAACTTTGTTATATGATAGTTGAGTCTGATACTAGGATGTGATTTCTTTTCTTGTTAACTTCTAATTTATGCTCATTTATGGAGAAATGCGTGTGATTTGGTTATTTGGGTCAATTTGGATGATATTAAAGAAACATTGTCCTCTGTAATCAAAATATGTAGCTCAAACATTTAGCTTTCAGGTTGATCTTTTTGGTTGAAGCAAATTGTTGTTTTTTCATTCTAAGTCATTGGTTTAAGAGGATTTGTGATTCCTTATTTCCCATTTGACTCGTTCCTTGAAGAGGTTATCCCCATGTGTTGTCCTTGTCAATTGTTGCCTCCATCTGAAGTTAGCATTGGCAAACATTTGAGCAGCTAAATTTGCAGTATTAGCTACTTTTATGGGGCAGGATCGGTGAAATATGAAGCAGTGATATATACAGACATGTAATGACTTGTGAATTTGATTGCAAATCATAAATGAACCTCTATGGGACTAGGTTTTTACTCACCGATCTGCATTATGCTTTTATAGGGAAATCTCTTTCTAAAAAGCATTGTTTTACACGTAGTACTTCCTCCATTCTGTATAACTTGTACCATTTAGACTTATACCCTATTCACAATTTTTTTTAATCATGTTTTGTGATTTATATGCAAGTAATTGTGTAGTCATTTGGAATCTTATCAAATTCAAATCAATTGATACTTTTAAAATATCAACTTATTATAATCTTTATAAGTGAAGATTATACATATTTACCATCAAAGCTACGCATTGGTTAACAGGAAAACCCTAAATGGTGCTAGTAAAAAGAAAAGAAGTATTTTTTAGGGGCAGCGTTTTTTTTTCCACTTTGATATGCTTTGAAGCAAAACCTTTCTAATTTCTTGTTGTTAGATCAATCATACATGTATGAGATTGTTGAGAAAATTTTAACACTCTTTGAAAGTCCACTTGAAGATAATGAAGGAGCACTTTTTCCTTGGAAATTTTGAAGCAAGTTGACACCTGAAATATCTTTGATTCTGGCATTTCTTGTTTAGGTTTTGGATTCTTATTAAATTACTTGAGAGATTGGAGAAGACTAAGCTGTAAAAAGGTTTATGGGTTATGGTGTTTGTATTATTTATGTTTAAAGCATGGATGGCGTAAGTAGGTGAGTGGCTTATTCAAGCTATAAGTTTGAGCTGAACTTTTGTATTTAAAGTTATTTTAAGGATATGCTTTGGCTGCAAATTCATATAGGAAATCCAGATTGGTGCTGCTGTAGAATTCCTATTCCGATGCATTTGTTTGTGTATTTTTGGAATATTGTTTAGTTTGAATTTACATCGAAGAGATAAAGTACAGGGGACATGAGTTCTATGATGTTTTGGATCTAAATTGGAGCTGTACCAACCCCCTCATCCATCTCAAGTGACACTAGTTCTATTACTGGTTTGGAAATTGGAAGTCATGGCTCAAAACTAGCCCCATTAGCAACCTTTTAAAACATCTCACTAGCAGTTATCCTACCAGGCTCTGCTCTATGACTTTTAGAGTCTAGATCTTATGTTGTGATGGCACTTGCACTCAGTAACTGGTATGTACTTTTAACAGTTTGGGTAGGAGTATTGATGAGAGTTTTTTTATCAGTAATGAATTTGACTTATGTGTCAAGACTCAAGAGGTGTATAAAAGACTCTTTTGATCTAAGCATGGAAATTTGGCTATGGATCGACTAGGACTTTTGACAAGAGGTGTATAACAGAATCTTCAATCCAGTGGCTTTGATATTTTTGAGTGCTTGCTTGTTTGTGTTTCTCAGTTGCGTGACATGCTTGTATTAGTGGTACCAATGAACCTATGGAAACACCATACATAAAGCCTTCATAATGAAAGGATATGACTCATATCAGATTTGATTATTGTAACTCCCTCCACCATTCAATTTAAATAAGTTTAGATAAACTAATCACAAAAACCTGTGGAAACACCATATCTTATCCCTCATAATGAAGGATTTGGGTTTTATTATTGTGACCCTCACCATTACTCGGTTTTAATATGGGATTCAGGGAAACTAATGACAAACCAATGATGCATTACTCACGGGAGGAATTCTGACAACTTTTTCTGAACATCCTTATTTAGTTTGTGCAGCTGTTTGTTTCGGATGGAAAGAGTTCATTTGGAATCTGTCTTTTAAGATACACTTGTATAATATTCCTTAGATGGGCTGACCAAAGTACTTGTCAGTTCCGTAATTTGGTGATCGTAGTTTAAAAAAAGTTCCTATGTAACATCACAGATGTTTCCTTTTGATCTTAAATATACATATGATTCATCTACAATCATAACCTGGAAGACATGGAATTTCTGTTATATCATTTTTTAGTATGTTATGTATAAATGTGGTTATCATTCATTATCTGTTCATGCTATTTTTTCCTTATCTAACCATTTCCGTTCTTTTTTGCAGCCCTGGGGTTGGATCAAGAGGACTTTTATTGAAAAGCAAGAAGAGCAGAATTAAAACATGTTTTAGCTTGCAAAAGTACCTCCAGTCTTCAGAATATATTGAACTCAGCCTTGAATCTAATAAATACCTTTTTTTTTTTTGTTAATTTCTGCCAATCAGATTACAAGGCTTTTTTGTCATGAGTTTTGGCAATCGACTATGAAATCGAATTTAGATGATTACTGTTGATCGTTTGATGTTTTATTTCATGCTTGCAATAAGCACTTCTGATTTCTATTGGAGACTGATTTGCATGTAGGTTATCCTGGCATATCACTTGCTGTACATTTTTTAATTTAGTTCTGCTGAATGTTTTCAGGATTGAGAATTCAATATTAATTTATTTTTATATAAACTAGGGCAGCCAATGCGCGCGTTGCGCGCGGAATGGCTAGCCTTTGCAACTTAATTTTACTTGTCTTGTGATTGCATTTCACATGGAGGAATAAAAGACCGGCAAAAGAATATACTATCTCGGGTTACTCGCAACAAAGGAATATTTTATGTCTCACAAATAATACCCCTTTGTTGCGAGTAAATTGAACTACAGGTAGTATTTCTTTTGCTTAGGCATTGTTTGTAGTCGTGCTAAGTTGAATGTTATGTGTGAAATATCTCGTATATTGAAAAAAAAATCTTTATTTTATTATTTGTATATGGTGATTCTTTTAATTAAAATACTATGTAGAGTCGTTGTAGAATATAATTCATAGATTTTCAATGATAATGCAGAAAAGGAACAAATGTTAGAATTGTTGTTTGTTTATTTTCGTAATGTTGATATTAGCATTACTTAATTGTAGTGGTACAATGCGAAATAGAGAAAGAATCATCAATGATGAAATCGAAACGACCAATTCCTAACCCACCACAAAGGCTAACAATATTAAACAACCGTTATATATTGGTATTGTCAATTTTTTTTGGCGACAATTTGATTTGGAAATATTTGGAAAGGTGGTGAACAAAGATGTGGAATTTAGTACTTGGAAATGACAATGATAGTGTGGAGAGAGAAAGGTAAAAGCTTTCAAGAGCTGGAGTCATGGAGAGGAGGAGAGAAAGCTCAAATGTGTAAGGAAATGTAGACGAGTAAGAACTATTTGAAGTTGGACCGTTGGAGTACAAAGTTACAAATAAGAGTACAAAGGTAAAACACATTTTGAAGGGTAAGTAGGGTACAAAGATAAAATAATATTTTGAAGGGTATAAAAGTCCATGCACTATTCATAAGAACAACTTTCTACTTTTTATAAGGTAGGGATACCTATTCCAAAATATGATATATTTCTGTGATAAATTAATAATAAAATTATCATCAAAGTCAACATATAAATAGTGAAAAGGGTTAAATTGTATTATGCAAAATCATTGAACATTCTAGAGAATACATGAAATTGGAAGCAAATAGATCATGAACTTTAGAGAACATTATGTCATTATAGCCACAAGAAGTCAAGAAATATTGAAAAAAAATTTAGTTCTACCATCTTCTAACCATACCTTTTGGCCACCATCTTATCTTCTATATATAAGTGATGTTGGGCATACAATCAAGTATTCACATAAGAAGCCATATTAGTACATCATAATATAAGTCTTCCCCTTATATCTTGTATTTGATTAATTTGAGATTTTCATTTTCAAAATTATATATATATATATATATATATATATATATATATATATATATATATATATATATATATATATGAACAAATATCTATTTGTCATAAATTATGTCAAGTTTTTGCGTTGTATCAATATTTAACTAATTAAATTTATGTAATATTAGAAAACCTAATACGTATCATAATGCTTATTTTATAAACTCTACCATTTATTTATTAAATCTTTAAATACATGTAGTATTTTTTTTAAAATTTACTCAATCATAAAAAAAAATATAGGAATTTGTATTTTTAATGATTTGTCGTTGTTTTCTTTCAAAATTTTGTAGGGTTATGTTTTTCAAATGAAAACAATTGAGGGATAACTCGGTTGGTATACCGTTATTTTGAAACCTTTTTTGTTGATTTCGATCAATGTAAATTGATTAATTATACAATATAAAAGTTTGATATATTGTGATGAATGTACATAAAATAACTCATATGTGAAACCTAACTTTTTTGGATTGAACCTTTAGATCTAAGTACAGTCCCGTCCTTGAAAATCAATGATTTCGGGTATTATTCCGGGTTTTTGATTCGATTTGGATAAAAACTAAGGTTTCTGTTTCATAATGAAATATAATTCCAAAATCATTTTTTTTTAAAATATATATATAAATGTTAGCCCTATTTCACTCTTTATCTTTTAATACCATTCTTTGATTTCTCTAACTATCGTTTTCAATCTCCCTCATACCACATCGCATGACCAACCGAAACAACCACGCCCAATCGCACGAGGGAACGACTTCAACTGTAATTCGGATTACGAACCCAAATTTACTTATGCGAGCGACTTCAGTGGTGCTTCACTTGTCAAGAAAATTTTTTATTTTAGTTATGACATGTATTTTCATATTTTATATTATATATTTTGAATATTTTTTGACTTTTGATTTTGATATATTGTTAATTAATTATTGATTGAAAAAAAAAAGATATAAATTTAAATTGTTACAAGTATGAATGTATGATTTTAAAAGGGTAATAAATTCCATAACAAATATTTATTGTTTTGGTTGACATTCATATTAGAGGAGTAAGGAAAAGATCATATAGTTAGAGTTTGCTTTCCGATTCCAAGAGAATTGGGATCGGTTCTACCCCTATCCTTGTGGCTCTCAAACCACAAAAAAAAAAACAAAAAAGATAATTTACGTCGCCGTAGTAACATCATTATTAGTAATTTCCTTAAGAGCTTGAAAAACCTTAGAACTCTTATAAAAAATCTGAGTCCTACGATTATAATCAATCGGTTCACGTCCTTGATCATCACCCATGATTGCTTCTCTCTCTAAACACTCTAACAATTCAACCAACGTCGTTGACCCTTCTTTACATTTCTTGTTCATCTCTCTCCTCCCTTGATCATTTTCAATCTCCTTCAATTCTCTCTCCAATTCCACCACTAATTTCGTGTTATTGCCGCACTTGATCATACCCCCACGAGCTGTTTTTGGGCCCGTTTTCTTGGGTATGGCCCAATTAATTGGGCCCTGTTTGGATTGAGAAATTATTTTTGGAGGAAAAATAATGTTATTGTTTAAGGTTTTTGGGTTTGATAATGAGAACTCCATTTTTATCTTTGTTTTTTGTTTTTCTGCAAAATTAATTGAGGAAGAAAGAGTTTAAGGAAATTTATAGATAAGAAAATTTTGGTTGCTACGTGTCAATTTGTGGGTCAGAATTTGGGTTACACGTGGTGCAATCTAGGGCGATTGAAAGAATTTTTAATTTTGGTAAATTACGAAGGAGGCACGGTTCTCAAAATTCATGCAATAATACAAAATTTGCAAATTAATCCAATTTTTAATGAATTTAAACATGATAATAACATAGTAATGCATGACGCAAGCAGTGAAGTAAGTGTTAAAGATGGATTATACAAGTTCCCAACTTAGGTTTGGAAACTATTCTTGCGTGAAACTAATTCATATTCGATTATCTTATCTAATTGGAATTACGTGATCGAGGATGATATTGTACTCGAATTTTGATACGAGTTTCGTTTGTTCTTTTATCTTCTTGTTTTAAGAAAAAGTTAAAATGTCGTCCTCTTTGCAGAGGAAGTATACACTTCCTTTGACTTTTTATTAATGTACCTACTATCTTCGTTTTATATTATTTACAACGATTTGACATAACTAAATAATATGAAACGGAGATAATATTTGAAATGTCTTGTACTCTTGCTAAGGAGTTCAACATCTAGAATGTAATAATTTGCAGTATATAAGACCCGTTGGATTATACACGATTGTATTTGCAACCAAATTTAATACGTAGTACTACGTATAATACTTACGTAGTTGAAATCAATTGGAGAAATAGAGAAACTGAAGTTAGGCTATATTATTATTTAGCTAAATACATCCATAAGAAGATCCTTGCTGCTTAATATACATAAATTCAGCTTAAAGCTGAAGCCCTAAACAATACTACGAGTCTACGAGTACGAATTATTTTCAAAATAAATAAAAGAATTATATGTACACCTACCTAAATAAACTCCTAGCAAATAAATAGAAAAAATATAAGAAACTGATATACCCAGCACAAATAGTGTACACAGAAGCTATAATCACATTGTAGATTGGCCAAGCCTTTTCTCAGCAGCGATGGCAGCAGCAACAGAAGGTGGTAAGTGCATTAGACTACTACTACTATGCTCGTTACTTTTATCCGGTGCTGCGGGAGGTGTTACTGCAAACAAGGACTCGACATCTTTCAATGTTAAAACAGGCTGATCTTGATTCTTCTTATTCCCACTAATAAAAGAACTGGAATTTCTGCTTTTGTTCAATTTGTAAATGCTTTCTTCAACTGTATCCTTAATCTGTTTAGCCAATGGAAAAAAAAAAGGATAAAGAAACAAAGGTTAAGACTCTGAGCAGAATGAAATTTGTAAAGAAGCATCAATTGTGAATTAAGCAAAGAAAAACAAATGTAAAAATAACTGTTTATTTAAAAAAAAAAAAAAATCCCAAGCTTTCTTCACAGAAAAGTTCTATTAACAACGAAACTGAAAAACCAAACAAAAACAAGAGAATAACACTAAAAACTAAATAGCCATGATACTGCAATGATAAATATAGAATACTTTCAAAAGTGGAAAACACATACTAGAAATCGATGAACAATGGTTTTCCTAGTCTGCCCAATGCGGTGCACTCTGCTGATTGCTTGCGCTTCAACTGCTGGATTAAGTAGGGGCTCAACAAGAATGACATGCTGTGCTTCTAGGAGGTTAAGCCCATTTGCTCCCTGCTGAATTAAGAGGAGTAACACTTGGATAAACTTAGAATCTGGCTTCCGTTGATCATTGATCTCGACACAACCCTTTTCTGTCATCTTTTCTCCTTTGAAAATGCTTAATGCAGCTTGTGATTGTTTTCTGTCATTACAAAATAAAACCATTTAGTAGTCCATCCATCATCAAACAACCCAATTTAAAACCTGTAGGTTGCTTGGACTAAAGAGCTCCCGATGTAAGCTAAACCCTTTTTCAAGAATCCTAAGCAGGATATCAGCAATAGACACACAACTTTGTAACAAACAGAAGATCAAGAAGTATCAGAATACGTGTCTGATAGATCTGGACTTTTGGAGTATCATTCAAAAGTGTTGAAGGATCGAGGGGATGGAATATCGAGGGGATGGAATATGCGAACAATTGCAAAATGAAAGGGCATGTTGTAATTCAAGCAAAGGGAGGTAAGCAGTAGCATAAAAAATAGAAAGGAAACAAAGCAGCCTAGAATATGATTCAAATTGTTCTAAAGCTATGTGTTAAATAGGTTTTACAAGGAAATTTAGACATCCAGAAAAGCTCTACCATGGATGTTATACTTAGACATTCAGACAACTAGACACTTTTGAAAATATTGACACAACATATCAAAAGATAATATCTCCCAACAAACAAAACATTCATAAAAATAATTCAGTAGTCTGAAGAGGCCCCATTACCTTCCCCCTTTCATACGAACATAACTAATCTCATTAGAAGCAAAAGCATGCTCCAACACATCAAGGACGTCATTCCAACTGGAGAAAACAAGAACTTTAGCCACTGGATCGCTTGACTTGATCCACAGGATTTTCCTTGTAATTGCTTCAATCTTCGAAAAGTAAAAATTAACATGAGCCTCACAGTATTAAACTATTAAAAGATAACAATGTTAACAACTATTATGAAAGTCAGACCCTGATAGTTATGGATATGAGTACCTTTGTACTGTATGATCCCTGGACAGATACAGAAGCCACCAGATTTTCACTTTTCACAACAGATGATTTACTCTGGCCATCATCAGCCAAGGCAATACTCTCAAAATCTGAAGGTTGTCGACAAGTAGGGCAAAGCACCCAATTATCATCCATCTTGCTGTAGGAAACCATCTTTCGCTCAGTTATTGTACAGAAACCTACAAAAATAACTTCTGTAATGTAAGTAAACACATAAATTTCAAGCGCTGAAGCCAAATTTGAAAGTCATAAAATAAGTCTCTTCTGACAGCCAAAAAAAATTATTACATGAATTACAAAGGTCAGATATTTTGAAGTAATAATGAATTAAAAACTCTCATATTTGCAAAGAAACTTTCCGCGCAGGAGGAGGGGGGGGGGGGGAGACTGCACAAACCATACTCTTCACAATAATATATATAGATGTTGGCTTGCTGACCAACATCATGATTACCCAGCGTTACTGCGTTATTAGATAGGACTTACATTTACAGCACGTTAGATGTCCACACTGAAACACCATTTTTTGATTTTGCAGAATTTCCTGACATACAGGACACATTTCCTCAACCAATCTGGTACTCTTTGCACTCTCTGGGGAAGGAGTATCTGTTAAAGCAGCTACCTCATTATCTGATTCTTCTTTCTGTTTAGAAACTACTAGTCCCTGGAAAAAAAAGACTCATTTATTGATAAGTCACTTGTAATGGATATCAGTAAAATAAAGGACATAGGAGGTTCAGTTCCCAATGAAAGCCACATAGTTCCCAACAATAGAATAGTACACATGTTTGAACAAGCAGACCATAAGCCACTTTGAACAGAAATGCAACGAAGGTCATATGTTCCTAATGATAAAAATGCAGGTAATCTATAGTTATATACCAATAATTGAAATCAGGTGATACAGATCCAAAATTTTCTTTTCAAACATAGCGTTGTATCTTTATGTAGGATTCTTTTAACATGTAATAGACTGGGAAATCTGAATATGAACTTGTAATTATAACAACAGAAATATAGAGGAAAGCTTGAAGGAATTTTTATTAATACGAAGATAACGGCTACAATGGAAAGATGGCTAAAGCTACTTCCTTGGGGACTACTTCACTACCCTACTACTACACTACTTACTGCTTTCTCCAATAACAACCTCCTTCCCCTTTCCCCCTCTTTCTCTATTTATAATAAAAACTAAGGACTTATTGACTTAACCTAGAGAGTCTAGAATACCCAAAGTGCCCTCCTTAAAACTAGTTTATTACATAACACTGACAAGATAATTGTAATTGCTAAACTACAATCAGGCTTCCAATGCTTCTTCCCAAAACCCTTCATACTTTTAATACCAATTTGTCTACAGATTTCATTTTTTTTAATACCAAATTGTCACCGGATCATTTTTTTAACCAAATTGTCGTGAACTAAAATAATTTTTTTTTTGTTACCAAATTATTAAAAAAATTAAAGCACTTTTGTCAGCTAGAGGCTGAGCAAATGTATACTAGAAGAGTCATCCATGTAACATAATTACATAACCACCAGAGTACATGAAATAAATCATTGGAAGGCATAAATGATGCTATAAATAATAAGCTAGTACCTGCAAAAACCGAAGTTTTCCCCGTATACGTGATAATGTTGCCAATGAAACAAATTTTTCACTCGAATTCTCCACGTTAGCAACTTCAAGTTCTTCCAGGCTTAGAGCATCTATAGAGTTATCATCATCACCGCTTTCTTTTAAGCGTAATCTTGAAGTTGCCATCTTAATTTCATCATATGCACGAAGAACCTGAGCTTGAGCAGTAGCCAACGATCTTGCATGAGCATATTCCTTCTTCATTTCCTGATATGAAGAAGGTAAAAGGTTAGAATAGTACAAGCATCACACTAAACAACTGCACAACTCATTATAAAATCAGCATCAGCGAGAAGCTAAACAAAAAAACACAAAAATATCACCAAACCATGTCATAATTCTCATAATCAAATTCATAAGACTTCAGAAAGGGGCATAATTAGCAACAACTTAAATGCAAGGAACTTGGCATGGCATACCTCAAGAAGTACCAGGTGTCTGCTGGCCGCTGCTATACCTTCTCTCCCAAAGTGTGCCCTGAAATAAGTCCTTATAAAACCAAGGATTATTTCCAATTCAGAGGGAAGTTTTGAATCCTACAAAACACAGTATCATGACAAACTCCATGAGCAAGAAATTAATGGATGATATAATAAAACTGAATTAGAAAGTTTGAATCAAAACATCATATTGATTCCATCATCCCAAACTCCTGGATAACAGATCGCACATAACACGTGGCACAGCTCTAATCACATGCTCTATGTCTTATTTTTGAAGTTAGAAGATAAGGGAGCACAAAGTTCCAACTCATCATTTAAGTGGAAGCACCATGACACTGATTTTACCAGGCAAATACACCACGCTGGGGGAGTAAGGAATGAGATTAAGAGAAGCTCACCATAAACATTTTTGCAGAATCCCTTTTACTTCTGCCTAGATTATTTGGACCTGATGATGCATCAATGTTTGACTTTTGCTCCAAATTCCAATAAAAATGGTTCCTCTCCAATCTTTTCTTCTTTAGATCTACTGCTTCAGCAGACGAGATGAATCCTCCATTGTCCTCTTTTCGAATAAAGAGCCTAGCCTCATAAGCCTAAGATATGGTAGATAAAAACTTAGAAACATGCCACAAGCAGTAACCTCATTGAGTCTCATAATAAATTTACCAACTCAAGACATACCTGGAATAACTCTTCCAATTCACAATGAGCACACAAAGGACCATCCACATTCATATAACAATTTGGACAGTACCGTACACGGTCAACATCTTCATCTCTTGGTTTTTCCATCGTCTGATCAATTTCCAACAGTTGGTCTAATAACCTTTTCCGAGCAGCTTCCAGTGAGTCTAAGCCACTTTGAATAGAGTATTTAAGTGCATCTATACTCCGGAAACTGAAAGGAGATTCAAAAAAGAAAAAAGAAAAAAAAGTTAAAACATAAGATGACTACCCATTTTAGGATGTCTCAATGTAATCCTTCCATTTACCGTCCAGCTAACAACCAATTTTTGTCTCTGTCAAACCAACTCTTTTGCGCTACTACTATCAATTTTTTAATTCAATATTTAACAGCTTCAGTGTTCAGTGCCAAATGATATTTGAATGTTTATATATGGATAAAGTGTTTCAGTAAGATTAAAATTCAATCAATTGATAAATCAGTTGAGAATTCATAGATCAGAAAGACAAATTGGTTGTCAATAAGCATAGCTATTCACCATAACACGGCAACAGTTCAGCAAAGACATCAGCCACACTTCTTAATGAGTCAAGAATATTCAATAGTATCAGCAGGTTCTTATCCATCATAAGGGACATCATTCTCATAGCTTAGAATCAGTCAATGTGAGCTATATAAGAGCTGGCAACTTATTTCACTTAATAAAGATCATCCTAGAGTTTGCCCATTGGCTTGTCATTCAGAATTAAACAAATTACAGAGAATTTCAGATCTCTAAGAATACAAAATGTATAGCATACAAGCTTCAACTCACAACAGTTTGAAGAAAAGACTAAAGATTTAGAACCAACCGGGAGTCAATTCTTGCTGATTTTGTAATGTTCTGGCTGTCTAAAATAGCATTTTCAATCCTCCTTGACAACTCATTAGCTGAATCTCTGTTTTGTTCAATTTGTTGGAGGGCTTCCAACCACCAGACTCTATTCTTGTTTTCTCTGTTGTTTATAGAGTCATCAACCTTCAAAAATCAATACATTTTAGTTTTTAGGCACTCAGAAGAAACAAAAGGCAAGATTCAACCACCAAGTACATAACTAGAGAAAATAAAAAAGAACATACAAGAGGATAACGTGATTTAGTGAAACAAAATTATCCTAGAGAGCAATGGTATTCTGCAACAACTTAGCTCCATCAGGGGGACTACATGTTTTATCATAAATTTGTTTGCTATACAAGAAAATTTCAATTTGTTAAGCGGGCTTTGAGGCAGTTGATGGACCACATGCCTCACCCATACATGAACAACTCACTGATAGTATGTACCAGATACTAAAATTACATGCATTTTAGAAAGCAGGGTACAAATTTGACATGAAACAACACAAAAGCTAAAAAATTAGAAAATCATCTCTCATGGTATCAACAAAACAGCAAAAGTCCTTCATGCCCACCAAAACAGAAGGCATAACAAAAACACCACAACAAAAAGGCAGCCACATGAAAAGGAGGAAAGCTACATTCAGCACTTATCCAGAATTCATGGAACCGAACGGGGCTGCATGCTATGAAGCAAACTGTACCAGTTGTAACTTACAAGTCGGAATTATTAAAATATGAAAAATAATCACATCAAGCACAATAATGTTTCTCAACTATGCCTCGAAGAATAGATACCAAGTGATCCCATATTCTGTTGTCTTAAGGTATCGTAGATATGCTTGAAATGGGATGTAAGTAATGTAACAAGGTACCGTAGAAATTGTTATCTGTTTCTTCACCCTCATATGGACACACTTGGGGGTGAGGATGGTAGGTGCCACCTCCATTATCCAACATCAAGATGTGTAGTATCATTATACTATGACAAATGATCGTCCCAATTGTTAATGAAAGGAAAAAAAGGTCATTATGGCTAAAAGACGCCCATTTCATAATACAAAACGCACAAGCATGCGCATCACAATGCAACGCAACAAACAAGTAGATAGCATAGAAACACAAGTTATGTGTCATAAACTATGCTAGAAGATTTGCAAAAAAATTGTCCTTGCTTATCTTTAACATACCAATGCCATGTTACATTTGAGGATTCTGATTTCTGAACATGCAATGACACACGGTGCATAATAAAAATTAGTCAAAATGAAGACAAAAAGTCAAGAGAGTATATACCTGCATATATGACTTCTGGAACTCTTGTTGAGCTTGTGACAATCTTGAGTAAAATCCAGATAAATATTTCTGTTTTAGACCCTCACATATGATAATCAAGCTTTCAATACTAGATTTTTTAACACCTTCTGAGCCATTTTTTGATGAATTGCAGTTCAATACAGAAGTATCCCTAGGCCTATCCAAAATGTCTTCAGTAACATTTTGAGTCTTCTTTATATGTTCAAGACAAGCAGTGATGCCAACACTAATTTGAGAAGGCATCTCTTCAATTTTTCCAGTTAGCTGCCCCCCACAAAATGATACTAGTTGCAAGGTGTTTGAAGCTGATTTGAGAACCTCAGCGAGATTTTGATGTATGTGGATATTTAACAAAGGGTCCACGCGGAAATCTTCAGAATGTTCTTCCGCTAAATTTAATGCTTCTTTGTAAAAAGAAGCTGCATTAGATAGTTCGCCTTGGATGATCGCTATACCAGCAAGCCCATTCAATGAAGAAACTACTTTCCTTAATGCATCCTCTCCCTCTAACTTAGTTTTACTAATAAGTACCTATAACATCACCCAAAAAAAAAAAAAACACTCTATCAGTAATTAGTACAGATGAATCACTTTCTAGCATGTAAGATGAATGATCTAAGTGACAACACACAGATAATATTTCATCCATGGTCATGGGAGATAGTTGAAGAGAACGTAGTCCAGATCCTCCCACTTGAGGGTGGCAGCAAGCTTGACGAAGCTTCAGAAGTGAGTTTAGCAGCTTTGTGGCCTCCAAATGGGTAACAAAGGGATCAGGTACAGACGACGAGGAAGCTGAGAGAAACAACGGATATTAGTAAATCTCTACTATTTTCCTCTTTTTCTCCTAGTCTAAAGAAGAATGGATGATTAAGTATTTCACTTCATAATGAAGGTTTAAAACATTTTGCAAACCTGAGCAATGTTTAGACAAACTCTGACTTTTGAACCTTTCAAGAACTTCACGAGCAAAATCCACACAAGTTTCATGTTGCCGCTGGTAGAAGTGCTCTTCAACTGCAGAGAACGAAAGCCAGGAGACCTGTTCTTCCTGCGGAGGAAGCTCAAGCTCATCTGCAACGTGTGCCTTTGAGGAGCGCCACATTAACTGTCTGAATATTTGATGTGTGAATGCCATAGCTGCTACATTCTTTCGCTACAAAAGTAAGGTTCACAATCAGGAAAAACAACAGACTTCTAAATGGAAAAGGGAACTCTTCAGACAGCTCCTCCATGCCCTTATACTACCCCCATTTCATATTATGTGCAACGATTGGGTATTTTTGAGATAAAAAAATATTCAATTGTTGCACATAATGTGAAACGGAGGTAGTATGAATTCGCAAGTTGGTTGTGAGACAACAAAATTAGTAAATCAGCTTGAAGATTATTCTTTTATTCTTATTTCTATGGAGGTATTAAGTAATCAGATGCTTTTGGTATCAAATATCTTTTGTAGACAGCATCTTGCAATAGGGTAAGCCATAAGGACTGAAATAGGCGAGTCAAAAGTTTGAAACAGCCTATTCACAACTGTACGGACTACAGATAAGACTGCATAGTTTTGGAATCATGGCCTAGGCAAAAGCCTCCTTAGCAGAGCATTAGGATGATGGTGTGCTGTAAGAGAAATTCAGAAGCACAAAGGATGCACAACCAACTGAACCAAGTATGTCAGACTCCACCTTTTCTGCTTTTTTCTTAGAAAAAAAAAAAATCATCTTGTAATGTAACTAAGAACATGATCGCTCATAATTAAATAACCCCAATAATATCTCCCAGAGTATGGAGTATGGACACATATATAAAACACTAGATAATTAAGATGATTAAAACATTTAATAAAGAAAAAATTACATACCTCATATGGTTCTCGTATAACTTCAGCCCACCACCTAGACACATCAAATGGACTTGCTTTTAGGAATTTGAGAAGACCATATAAATCATCTAGTTTCCTTTGGATAGGTGTTCCAGTAATACACCAGCGATGTCTTGCATGTAGACGCAATGCCATCTCTGCTGCAGCAACAACACTACTCTCGACCATTTGAGCTTCATCTAAGCAAATTCTCCACCATAACACCCTGGTCAGAAGGGTTGGAATCACAGGATACCTGTAACAAAATATACTGGAGAATTCTGTAACTTGCTCATTACAAATCACTAAAGTATCACAGCTTACAGCTTCAGATACAGGATATCCAATGTCTTTCCAAGCGATATATTACACTGGATCATGACAAACACAAAGGCAGAGGAGACATCACTCAGACAGGCATGTGTAAACATGAAGAAATTTCTAAGACCAACCCCCCCCCCCCCTCTAAAACAAACAAACAAAAAATAAAAGATCTAAAAATTTTGGATCCTTTACAACAACAAAAACAACTCTTAAATCAGGAGAGACAGCGTTGAATAGAATGGACAAACTGATAAACTCTTGAATCAGGATTAACCTTGGGCACAGTTTATAAGGATCCAATCACAACAAGTAGAGAAAATTGTAAAGCTTATACCATCCTCTTAAGATATTATATTTTAAGTAATACATTAAGAACGGCTTTCAACTAAGCAGAATGAGTGGGAAAAGAGAGAGAGAGAGAGAGAGAGAAGAAGAAGAAGAAGAAGAAGAAGAAACCTTTTTCCATATCTCATTAAGCGACGATCCCCTTCATGCCTCTCTGAATCATGTGATAGATCATCTCTCAGAACATCATACGTCGTCAGCACAATATCAGCTGAGACTAATTCATTGATATCCAATGCAGTGGAATTTGATGATGACTTTTCTTTCACACCTTCGTAGACATAAGTTCTCATGGAGCCTGGATTTGTATGACTAAGAGATGGATAAGCAATCAATAAGAAGCTAAGAACAAAAGAAAGCACAGTTACATGTCAAGCAAAATTCAGTATCATAAGCATTCCAATGCAATTATAAAGTGAGCAGCAAAAATAGCATGACAAAATTTTCTTGTGTCACTTTGTGCTTGTGGACTTTGGTGCATTATGAAAAGAATTATTGAGGATCCATATAGGAACACAGACCAATAAAATAAAAACAATAGAAACAATCTTGTTTAACTACATAGAGGGGCTTAGAGGACATTCTGTAAAGGATTTTTGAAAAGGCTGTTCTGTAAAGATGATTGAAATTGTCATTCCACAAGGTCTAACAACATCCATTATAGAATCACATAATCCATAATTGAAACCATTACACATATTGCTACAATTGAATTGACATATAATATAAGATTAGACTCTTATATTGTTCCCCTATTACCTATAAATGTTTAAAACCATTAGATAAAATACTTCATATATCATATCTCTTATAGTAATTTGTTATTAGACTGCCACATATATAGTCTCCCTATTCTTGTATATATATACTCCCCAACATTAGTTACAACTCTAAAAGATGCATGACTACATTCTTATCTCAATTTTTCACTATCTCTATATGTTAACACATTGTAAAATTTTAGGTGATAATTAAATTTATTAAATAGCACCATTTAGACTAAAGGCCTGTTCTCTTCAAATTATTTTCAGTTCAGTTCAGCTAAGCTAAGCTAAGCTCCGCTCCGCTCCAATAAGTTCAGTTTAGTTTAGTTCAGTTCTTAATTTCCTTCTCTCGTAAAATATCCAGTTTAGTTTAGTTCAGTTCAATTCAGCTCTAATAAGTACAGTTCAGTTTAGTTCAGCTCAACTCACAACAGGCCCTGAGGTTATTCACAAACTCCCCTTAGACCCTTTGTTAATCGGACTCGGCATTTTAGCCGCCGAACGCGAGTCGACACGACGCGTATGGGATTCGGACACGAAATTCATGTCCAATTCGTCAACTTCTCCTCGGATTCGGCAGAAACCCTAATTCCCAAATTAAACAAAAATGAAGAAGTAAAAAGTAATAAAACTATAGGGCTTTTACTCGTGGGCCTCTGGCGAGCCAAATACCATTCTGATTTTGGATCGAGGGTGACGGAGAAAAGAGACTCCATTGAAGTGTAGGGAGTTTTTAAGGTGAAGAAGAAATACGAAGAGAGAGACAAGAAAAAGAAAAGAAAATGTTTTCACGTGACCCTTACTCTTTATGCTTTAACAGCCTGTATTTTCTTTATTATTTTCATTAAAGGCTTCCTTATGGCTTACTCCGTAGATATATATATATATATATATATGTGTGTGTGTGTGTGTGTGTGTGTGTGTGTCCCCGCACCCGTGTCCAAATTTCGGAGTGAGTCCCCGAGTCCCAAAAATTTTTACTTTGCCGAATTGGACACCTTGAAGCGTGTCCGTGTCAGACACCCGTACCTGAGTCCTGGTAACATAGCTTAGACCATTAGTTGTAATCTTTAAGTACTAAAAAGTATCAATTTTTTAAAATTTTTACTAAAGATATTAACTGTCAAATTTGTGCATTGCTAAACATAAAATCCAATATGGTAATTTGGTAGAATATATATATTGTAGAAAGTATAATTTAGGTTAAAAATATAACCATTTATAATAATTATAGTGGTTTATATGTGCAGCTGAACAATTTAGTTTATAAACATCAATTTCCCAACCAGAACCCGACCCCTTTGACATGTAAATTTACTATCGTAAAGTCAATCCTATTCAATTTGTCAATTCACACTCTAATGGTTGCAAAGCAAGTCATAACACCAAACATCTGCAACTCTACAGCCACAAATTTCTTCCTTTGCATGGACCACATGACTAAGAGAATGTTGCAGAGCTTACAGTACACAACCCCATGACTAGAACATATTTATAGTCTACATTTTCTCCTCACTCATCCCCTCTCTTCCTCTGCCCCTCTCCCGGGATGGACTCAAATCCCCACTCAATTCCATGAATGCATATACAAGGGGGGGGGGGGTGAAATGAAATAAAGAACAGAGATATAGGTACACTAGGTAGTACCGAAGTATTTCAGCATGCCACTGAGGCAGTATGGAAGAAGGACAAATAATAAGGGTTGCTGCAGACTCGATCGGAGAGCTAGTAGCTTGCATCAACTGCAAGCAAATTTGGCACACATACTCATTATTCATTATGACGATATCAGCAACATTCTTCTTCCTTCTGTTACTGTTGCGTTTTCCCTTAGAGGTTTCCTTGGTTCTTTGTATTCCTTCTGAGGGTGAATAACCAACACAGTCTGCATGCTGCCATGCATCACAGACATCACATTGAACCCACAATCCTTCATACTTGTAACTTTCACTAAGTGCACCACATACACATTCAACACGCTCTCTTTTCAGTCTATTAATTCTGGTTTTCTCCTTCTCAGTAATATCTGTTATACCTCTAAAACAATAGCCTTGTTCAGATGATGACTTGCGATGAGCTAATATACATGCAAGAAGCTCAACAGTTTTTCCCATGCCCATCTCATCTGCAATAAAAATAGATAAAACTAGCATAAACATACACCAAAAGGATTTTGCATATGTGTATAGTAATAGGCAGAAAATAAACACATACATAAACTATTCAACTTTTAAAAGCTAAAACTTTTAGCATCTTTACATTGTATCCTATACAATGATACAAATATTAAGCATATAAATTTGAGAAGTGATAAAATAACATGTAGCATCTAATGGGAACAGGGAACCTCAAGGTGAGAGAGTGGGTTGTCAAAAATGAGACCCATCAGATAAGTTAAGTTTTATTTTATTTTTTTTATTTTTTTTTGGGGGGGGGGGGGGGGTGGGAAGGAAAGTTATGCTTTAAAAAACAAATAACTCAAACATAATAAATTTATGGGTCCTCCATCCAACAGTAAATGAGAAGTGATTTTATAAGAGTCTCAGCATTGGACATTTAAGTCTCAAAAATAAAATAGATATTGGGACTCACAAGTCACAACAAGAGGAAAAAAAACATATGAAAAGCATTTGAGCGGTTGAGCCTCTAAAGTAAAAAACTTCTAGTGATGCTTGAACAACTCTAGAGTATAAACCTTATCATAAGAACACCACAAATCCCTCATTAGAAAAATAAATTCAACTCACATCTATTAGGTGAACTTGATGCCAGAAACTTCAATACCATCATATATCTTAGCTTCACAACTTCAGCGATGCATAGCACTTGAGCCTTAGTTAAACTACTACCCCTTTGTGTCCAATTTTCTTAGTAGGGAGAAGTCAAAATGGCATTAAAATAGATGGGATTGAAGAAAGCTGTTGGCCTGATAACATTCCTATTGAGGTTTAGAGACGTTTGGGAGAAAGAGGAATTGAATGGTTGACAACTTTTTTTCAACAAGATTTGTGGATGTATAAGATGCCTTTGGAGTGGAGGAAAAGTACTGTAATACCCTTGTATTAAAAGTTTAAAACAAAGGTGATGTCCAAGATTGTGCCAACTATTGAGGGATCATACTAATGAGTCATACTATGAAACTTTAGGAGCGAGTGATCAAACAAAGGTTAAGGAAAAGTGTGAAGAATATTATGCGGTTATGCCGGGAGATCGACTATGGAGGCAATCAGGCAATACATCTTATGAAACAGCTAAAGGAGATTTATTGGGATAAGAAGAAGGATTTGCATATGGTTTTTATTAATTTGGAGAAGGCTTACAATAAGGTACCAAGGGAGATACTTTGGTGGGCTTTAACAAGAAAAGGCATTTCGTGGAAATATATTTACATCACTAAGGATGTGCATGAGGGAGCTAGCGTGAGTGTGCTTACCTTACTACTATTAAGAAGACTGAAGAGTTCCCTATTACAGTTAAAGTTTATCAAGGTTATACACTTAGCCCTTTTCTTTTTGCCATAGTCATGGATGAATTGAGAAGTTCAATTTAAGATGATATACCATGTTGCATGATATTTGTTTATGATATGGTGTTGATTGATAAGACAAAAGAAGCGTGGAAAGTGAGTAAGAATCTTTGAAATCTAGCTTGAAGGTAAGCAGAACTAAGATGGTGTATTTAAAATGTAAGTTTAGCAGAGTGGAAAATAGGGAGGCAGAGGTGATAAGGTCTTCCGATCAATTATTCAAAAGGATAAAGAATTGGATGGAGATATAGCTCATAGGATCAAAGAAGGCTGGTTAGAGTAGAAGAGTGCAATGAGGTTTTTATATTGTCCTAACATGCCTTATAGATTAAAAGTAAATTCTACCAAATGACAATTAGGTCTGCATTGTTAAATGGCTCAGAATGTTGGGTTACATCCATTGAATACAAGATGAGGGAGAAACGCTTAAGGTGATTTGGTCATATAAATGGGAGACCAAGAGAGGCTTCAGTAAGGAGGGTTAAAGAATGGCAGAGTGTTGGGATCGCGAGGGGTAGGAGAAGACCTAAGAAAACTTGGAAGAGGGTGGTTGAGAGTGATATGAATACTATGAGGATTAAGGAAAATATGGTGTTGGATAGGCGGAGAGGAGGGAGAAAATTCATGTCGAGGACGTGTCAAGATTTTAGTATTTACTTTAATTATGTAATCAGCTCATGTTTTTGCAAACTTTACTATTTCATTTGCAACCTTTATGTGTTTTACTTGCATGTTTTTCCACTTTTTTATCCCCTTACCAATCTTTTAATATTCTATTAAATTTTTGTTCGTATTCTCTATTTTGTTTCTCACTTTACACACCTTTTTTTCCAAACTTTTATTAAATTGATTATCTTGCTATGCTCTTTTTCTTTTACGAACATTTCCTTATGGTGATTCATGTTAGCCAACCCCAAATCATTTTGGGACTAAGGCTTTGTTGTTGTTGTTGTTGTATAAAGTTATCTAATACTCGAGTCAACTCCGAGATGTGAAAGAACAACCAAGCACAAGAAAGAAAAAAATAAAACTTAGCATAACGGGAGCACATCTTACCCAAATTATTTATTAATCAATATTCGTTATAAAGTCACTATTTAACATTTTAATTCACACAAAATAATCTTTAAAAACCACTACATCAACATGGACCCAAACATGAACATGGTTTTTGAAAAGGAATTAAAACATGATTCACTTTCCCAAATTGCAAATTCTTAAGTAGTACCTATATAAACAATTTACACTTAACAAGGTGATAGCTACATTTACCAAACAAAAAAAAAACACACACACCAAAATACATAAGAGATTATAAAATTAATCAAAGACTCTTACCAGCAAGAATACCGCCAAAGACATATGAAGGGGCGATCTCTTGACACAAAGAAACGTTCCCACTAGCAAAAGAGAGGGGAAAAAGAAGGAAAGGGATAAGAGAAAAGGCTAGACTAATGGAAAGAATGAAATTAGGACAATTTCGCTCTAAGTGAGAAAAAAAAAATTCAAAGAATATAAATAATAGTAATAAATAAAATAAAAAATAAAAAAGGCATAAAATAGGAAAAGAGACATTCAACTACAGCAATCATACTTATCCTTCGTATTTGAAAAGTCTGCCTAAATAAAATTGGGGGGAAAAGGAAGGGGGGAAAAAAGGAACTCTATTGAGACATAAATGGAAGGAAACCATGGTTTACACATGAAATACTTTGCCCTACTTATCAGCCAACAAAGACTTGGCATGTTTGACTAAAATTATCCTACAGTCCACCACTCAACAACAAATTCCAATCAGGTATCAACCACAAGAACAGTGCTTAACTATGAAGCACAAACTTATGAATTTTTTGCATCATTGTGAACCACCCTCAGGTTCACAATGATGCATCATCCCAATTATCCCGATAATGCAATGATTTCAAAATTATTCAAAAGATTTGCCCCACATGTATCCAGGGGAATAGTGACATAACGACATTGATGATCCTACAGTTCTACCTCCCATATCATCTATGTGAAACAAAGATGGCCCAGCATAACATGAGCACCCCAGTAGTCAGCACCATATTCTCAAAGATTGACACAGCACAAGACACGACAGGTAGCCCACAGTTCAACACATTCAATTAATACAAGGTGTACAGACTACTGACTATGTGTACAGTGTGAGAAAAAATTGCACATACATGCTTCTCATTCTAACCAGATATCTCCACTTACATATTTCATACCTCTCTAGGCCCTACTAAATGTTGTGACCACATTATTGCATCTTCAATTTCATGTTTCATCACTTTTAAGACAGGCTCTATGATCCATATTTGAGTATCACTAAAACCATAGGCCCTTGTAACCACATTATTTCAAGGTAAAAGAATATTCTATGAGACTCTTTGATCCATATTTGAGTATCACTAAAACCATAGGCCCTTGTAACCACATTATTTTAAGGTAAAAAAAATATTATATGCCACTCTTTGATCCATATTTGACTACCCCTGCTGTACAGCCTGTACCCCAATAAGAGCATCATAGGTTATGGAAATACAAGGTAAAGCTGCAACACTATCAGGGGCCTAAAATTAAGCAAAGGGGATCAGTGATAGTCATAATCATATAGTTTTTTCAAGTACATATAACTATAGAAGTTACATTTCTAGTTCATATTAGAACATTTAGGGGCATATCTGCATGGTTTGCTCAAGTTGTGCTATACTACTCTCTGTTTTCATATTTTGATGTTTTTAGGTGATTTCGATTCAAATAGATTATCTTGCACGAGGATCGCAATGCATCTCTTCAGAATAAATGAGTTGGAAGAGAGGAAAATGCTTATGAAATAACTCGTGTTCACTCTTTGGCTCATAACTTTTGATCTATAAATAATGGAGTGAATTTAATTGGATCGGAAAACAGACTTGAAGGTCACACGCCAATATTCTATGAGAAAGGAGCTATTTCAATGATTTTTGCACACCCACAAGTTTTCTTGAGCGCACCACCCCAATCAAGCCAAAATCACTAGTTTTAAAAGTTGGTTTCACACTCGATTGGGGTCAAATGCAAGCGGAGCCCAAATTCTTCATTTTTAAGGATTTTTGTTTATTGCCTATTAATACCCATTGTAAAAGCCATGAAAAAGGATGCCTTGTTTTTAGTGTGGTTTCTTAAGAGCTTAGAATGCTTTTAGTTAAATTCCAAAGTACACTGAATACAATAATGCACCTTTAGATCTCTTTCTCCTTGAATGAGAAATATTGTAATTTCAAAGGTATTGTTCATATTTGCTTTTGCTCTCTATTCCTTTATTGCAATTATTCTATCTAAAGATTTTTATAATGTCTTCAATTATGTTTATTGCTTATGTTATTTTCAACATGTATGAGTAGTTTAATTTTCTAGGGTTGAGAATCTATGAATGAACGAAAGGGATTAAATTTAGGTGAAGCCTTAATAGTAATGACGCGGTCGGCTACATGAGCCAAGATTTCATCTCTAGTGATCATCAACCATGCTCCTCTCTCTCTCCCTACCCTTCTCTCAAGGTGCTTCTTTAAACTCGTTTTTACATATTATCCTCGGCTCCTTCCATCTAAGTCACATTAGGTCTCACCCTCTTTAAGACTATTCTATTCCCACTATTCTATTTTCCTTTCCGTCACTTCATTTGTTTTTCGTTTCACATACCAAACAAGTTTCTCCTCTTTATATTTACTGAACTTAAATTATTTTTGCTAAACTTAAATTAGTTTACTAAACTTGATTTATTTTTATTGATTCCCTATTATATTTTATTATTTGTTCTTTGAAGTTACTGAACTAAACTGATAAATTTATTTGAGTGTACTAAATATTATGTTTTAAAGGGGAAGATAGCAAGGCTTTAATTGGGTCCCATTCCTCTTTCTATTTTAAATTAAAACATTATTTGCTTGGTTCCACAAATATTAATGGAGGGTAATTACAATTTATGTTAGCTGTCGATCGGTCTATCCTTCCCCTTCCTTTTATAGTTTTATTACTTACACTTTTATACTAGTGTGAAACTGTAAACATCATACTTTTTATTTATCTATTACCACAAATGACATTGCTCTTCATTTAGCATTTTTTCTTTATCATTGTATATCCTTTGTCTCTCATTGTTAAGACTTAAGAGTATTAGACTACTAGTATTAACATCATTATCATTGTAAAATGAAATATTAGTTGTAGTTGCAACCATCATCCTTTCCTTATTAATCGTGCTTATCCAAAAATGTTTCAATATGACTCTATTGCTATTGTCGAACCCCTCTTTAATAACCTTTCAGAAAATGTCGATCACAAAGAGCTAGTTAGAAACAACTGCTCAAGTAATTATAGGACACGGATGCATACATATTGACCATCCCAAAAGCCTAGTTTATGGATCCAATTTCTTCTCATTATTTAGCCTCAAACCATAGGGATTTTCTCTTCATCCTCTGAAGTAAATGAGCTGGTTTTTTTGTGGGAGAGAAGACATTTGCAAAGAATATGTAACCAAAAAACGAAGAACTACAAAGACATACCTAAATGGGTTGTAGAACATTTTCGACGGAGACTCCAAAAAATCCACAACCACACACATAGGAGGACAATAAAAATTATTTTCCCATGCAACCGAATCCTGCAAAGCACCCCTCTCCCTTTGTACCATCCAACAAGCAGCCCGACGTTGATATGGTCTAAGCTCAGGGAGTAAATCAGGCAACTCAGCATCCAGCATGGGACAATCTCTACATAATACAGAAAGCATAAATGGTTAAGTAAATCATCTAATGAAGCACGCGTATTCCAAGTTTTCAACAATTCCATATAAAACACTCACTTTGATCGTTTAATGGCTTCATAAAATCCACCAACATCAAAATTTGAATCTTTGAAGCTTCCATCATCCACCTCCGAATTCAAATCTTCTTCAATTTCACTCGATACATGAACCCCATACCGAGCCTCAGAAGTTGTCAACTCGGGCCGAAGCCAAGCCATTACACTCATCATGCTCTTCTTCCATGCTAGCCTAGTGTTATCTAGAAGTGATGTACAAGCACTAAATGCATCTTGAAGTATCTCCACCCTAATCCTAAGTGAACATACATCCTCACATAACCTAACCCCGAAAACCGGCCTCAATGTCAAGAACTTCATACTAACTAATTGAACCAACCCGGTAATTCCGTCATCACTACCATCAAACTGCCCACATACAACCACATCACAAGCTTCGATATTGTTAACTACCCTCCTACTAATAAACTCCAAATATATGTTTTCAGACGAAAACACAGGCCAATACCCTGATTTTATTCTAACAACACGCTCATTCACATCACATAACCTAACCCTTAAGCAAATTTCCTCATTCAATTCAAACCCAATAAATTCAGGACTATAATTCAAATTATGGAGTACAATTTCAGATAAATCTCTGTGTTCTAAAGAATCCCAACTACTTTTATCAACATCAAAAAATAAAGGGGGGTTTTGAATATTACCAAAATCATCAACTTTGAGATCATTAGCTAAACTAGCACCTGGGTTTGCTGTATTTTCACCATAATTGCTTGTGCTTCCATTCTCAAAAAATCTCACAGAACGCCGGGGTTTCTTTTTTATCCTACCCATCTGAGAACTTGCCAAATTCAATCAAAAAAAGCAAACATTGCAGAAATTTGTTGAATGAATTGAGTTTAGAAACCCAGAATTATGGGAATTGAAAGAAAGTATTGATCTTTGGTATGGGTTGTGTAAATTAGAGTGATAACTTGAACAGAGGGAGTTAAGAGTCAGGAGAGCAGGAAAAATTATCTCTGGGGATTTTGTGTAAATTGATGAGTTTGTTTGTTAGTTACGAGTGAAAAAAGAAAGAGTCAACCTAAATTTATCTTCTATCATAAATTTATCTTCTATTTATCCTTCTATCATAAAAAAAACTACTTGTATTATTTTAAAAAAATAATAAAAATTGTCTCGTTTTATGAAAAAAAAAAATGAAAATCGACTCATGAGCGGTTTTCGAGAGACGAGAGTCGGGGAAGGGCCAAAGGGGGGGAGGAAGGCTCGAGGGTGGGCGATTTACAGGATAGAGGAAGGGAGGGGAAAGTTTTTCGAGGGTGGGGGAACGCCAGTTGGCGATTTGCGAGGACGAGGGAAGGGTGGGGTGGGGTTCTAAGAAGAGAGCCTAGTTAATATGTCATATTAATAAAGCGGGGTTAATATGGTGGCAATTTTGCAAATATGAGGAGTGGAATCTATTATTTTATTAGTTTTCTATTATGTTGGTCATGTAAGAGTTAGCCAACGTTATCTAATTCAAGCTTTCATCTTCCATTGAAATGCCCAATTCAAGCTTTCGTCCTCTATTGAAATACCCAGTTCCAGTTCAAGCTTTCAACTTCCATTAAAGATGCCCAAGCTTTCATCCACCATTAAAGATATTTAAGCATATCTACTGCCACCACTTAAACGAAAACCTTAAGGATAAAAAGTGAAACAAAGGGCATGATTAACCCCAAAGGGTATAAATTTGTCATCGCCTTTGATTTGTCTATTGCAGCCACCAATTTCTCCATTAATGGTTTTAATTTTGAGTGAAGAAGTGGAAATGGTGATATAAGCTAACGGAGTTAACAATGCAATCTAGTCCTACTGAGGTATTATTGTTCTTGGTAGTGGATTTACTCCACTAGCCTTACTAAATAGATCAAAAAGACCAATGTACCCCTATATTAACAAAAATTGTTAACATAACATATTAATAGGTATTTTCTTGAGTTCCAACAGGCGAGGATGGGTGGGGTTGGGTTCCGGCAGGTGGGGAAAGGGAGGGGTGTTTCCACTGGGAGTTGTTATTGGCGAGGGGAAGGGAGGGATGTTTTTCGATGGGAGTTGATTCTGGCGGGGGAAAGGGAGGAGGGTAGGGGCTGGTGGTTTTTTTTTCCATTTTATATAAATTTAAATTTTTAGAAAAAAAATTAATTTTTTGGACTAATCAGGGTTGACATGTGTCAAGTAACCAGTTATAACATATTGTTGACTTTTGTTGACGATTATGACCTAATACTCTCTTCGGTTTTTTGTATGTATCAGTTTGACCAGCACATTTGCCGAGATGCTACTATGACCATTAATATATTTAATTGTGTATTAGTAAAAATTGTAACAAAATTATATTATGAAACTAGACATTATGACAAATCTAACGATAAATTATATAATACCATTTATTTATTTTTAAGAGGTGAAAAAATAAAGTCAACCAGGTATGTGAATAGTGCAATTGTCAAAGGATTGCCTTTAAAAAACGGAGGGAGTAGATGAAAACGTCCCTAAAGTTGTGTTTATAGTTGAGACTTGAGACTAATAATAGTAAATGACGTAAAGTTGAGATTAATATTATGAAGTACTCGGTATCAATTTTTCTAAAATTATACTTGAACAGCGATTAGCGGATTTATGAGTACGTGTCATTTATTGAATGTTTACCAAGTCCTTGAAGTCAGTTTTTTTTTTTTTTGGTGTTTCACCCGGTTCACCTTTTGGGTAATTCGGATTCGAGGATCAATTGAGTGATAAAGTTATTGAAGTCATATTGAATGTTTACCGAGTTGTTGAATTCAGTTAATTGAGTGATAAAGTTATTGAAGTCACTTAATTGTCCGTTTGGCATTGTTTTCAGTTTTCAGTTTTTTGTTTTTTCAAAACTGAAAACTGATTTCAGTTTTTGATTCTTTTTAAAAAAAAACTGTTTTCATTTTTCAGTTTTGAGTTTACAATCAACTTCAAAACACTAAATCATTTATAGCTTTAATAAACTATTATACTACCAATAATTATTTATTAATATATTTTTTTATAGCTGCTTATTTATTTTCACAATATATGAAATCTTTAATCTTCCAGTCAAATATATATATATATATATATATATATATATATATATTTAAATTTATTGATTGAATAAGGTTGTAACAAAATTTAAAGGAGCAACTAGGAAAAAAAAAGTAACAATAAAATAGTCAAATGCAATGTAATATTTATTTCTCGTTGAAGACTTTCATTATGAATTTTGTCTTTCCCACAATCTTGTTGCCAAACAATCGCGAAATTGAGCCATTCTTTGAAGTTCTTGTTGACTTACAGAAGGAGTCTCTACGTCCTCGGATCCATTGTTGTTGATTGCATCATCTTCTAGTTCGACATTTTCATCCGCATACTGTATGAACAAAGGATCTCCATCCTTGCACATTTTTATGAAATTGTGGATAACACAGCACAACAAAATTATATATTTTTGTCGTTTTAAGTCATATGAAGGCATATCTCTGAGAATGGGAAATCTAGCTTTTAATACCCCAAAACATCTTTCAATAACATTTCGCAATGAAGAATGTGTATAATTAAATATTTCCCCAGGACCTTGTGGGCTCGTTGCTCCTCTATAATCACGCAAATGATATCGTTCTCCACGATACAGTGAAAGAAATCCTGGCATATTTGTATAGCTTGAGTCTACAAGATAATACTTTCTAGGAGGAGGCATAGGAAACTTGGTCTCTTCTACATTTGTAATTGTTTCCCAAAAAATTCTTGAATCATTTGCCGAACCTTCCCACCCAGCCATCACAAATGTAAATTTCATGTCAAATCAACAAGCACACATTACATTCATCGTAGGCTTTTTTTTCTTTTCCACGATAGGGAATTTGATCATCTTGTGGCACACGTGCTGATACATGAGTTCCATCAATAGCTCCTATGCAATTCTATAATAAATCGTTAAATTCAAAATACATACTTAATGAATTAATAAATAGATAATATGTAAAAATTAAAAATTAGTGACAAAAAATTACCTTGAAAATCGGATAGTATCTTGGGTTATTTTTTATTTCTGGAGGTGTTTCGTCAAATGCCGGAGGAACAATCCAATGCTTCGATAATGATGCGATGGCATACAAAACCTTTCGAAAGTGGCGGCGAGTAGATTCTAAGGAATGTTGAAATCTATCCGCTATAAGTCTGTGCCTCGAATTATGAGAAATAATAAGAAGAAACATTGCAACCTGTTCTTGAATTGATATAAATTTGGAATCTTTCAACTTTTCCCTTTTTTTCAATTCTTCACACAAGCTAATAAAGATCTCAGGATTCATTCGAAGCATAACATAACATGTCATCGGATGACCGTTAAGCAATTCAAGGACATATTGATGACCTGTTAACTTTGAAATTCTTTGCAAACGAGGTTTCTTTTTAAGGAACCCATTATTTTGTAAGTTAATATAAATTGTCAATATTTGTTGAAAATCTTCCTCATCGAAATCCGATAAAATTTCTTCAATGTCGAAATCCATAACTGTCTGCATTTTTTACATATAAATGTTATGAGCAAGCAGATAGAATAAGATCACCATTATTACTCTTATTAAATCAAACCCAAATACAAATTCCAAAAAAAAAAAAAAAATCATACTTACGACAAGATCTAAATTGAGTTTAAACACTCAAACATGCATTATTGAAGGGAAAAATAATTTGTACTAATGAGATAATGCTTAAAGGTTGAGCACAAAATCTATCTTCCTATCATTTGGAAATCTAAGAAACATTTTCCTCCACAATGGATCATCATGTATTAGTTTAGTTGCCTTTGCAAATGCAGCTCCATCAATTCCCTCAAGAGCACTTAGTGCATCTACACATTCCATGAGCAAATCATGATCCTCCTTGGACTGATGCCCACCTTCATCATTGCCATTAAATTTTCTCTCGATAAGTTCAAGTTTTTTCTTGGAATTTTCACTCATTGTAACCAAGGCATCCGCCATTGCTACATTAACACTTTCCCTAAGTTTCTTACGATTGACATTCGGCTTGATTTTTTTTGTTTTTAGGACCCTCTTCACATTGTTTTCTTGAGTCACCCCCTTCTCCATCTGTGTCATCTTCATCCTCACTCTCAGAAGGGCTTTTAGTAGAAGGATGTGAACTAGCACCAGTAGCGGTTGTATCCCCATAAATTGTGCATAATTTATCATAATGCTTACATCCCTTCTTTCTAAAAGTTTTGGCAGACTTATGTTTCTGAAACAACCATACATTCACATCAAATATCACAAAAATAAAATCTTATTAGTTTAAAAATGTCCATACTTGATCCATAAAAGAATAGAATCAAAATAAACTTATTGACAATTACCTCATACAACTTTTTTCATACAGCACCCTCAGCACAAAATTGAAAAGTCATAGCATTGTATCCCATTCCAGTTTCTTGTAATAGTATACTAAATTCCTTCCATCTTTGTCTTAGTTGATTATATTTGTTCTTAACTTGCTCTCGACTATAATCCTTTTTTGTCTTCTCCTTTAGTTTTTGCTTGATAAACCTCCAAGCTTGCTTGGTTAGAGTGGTTGTTGGTCTATTTCCTTTTTTTTACCTCCTCCTCTATCAAGCTTATAAGGTAAGATTCAATATTTTGATTCCATACTCCAACTACTCCAGTAGATTCAATCTCAACAACAACTTCATCTTCGCACTCATCATTTTCCAAATTTGACATCTGTAAAGTAATTCACTATTAGACATAATAATCATCTAATTCAACTAAACAACCAATGTGCAGCAACTAGAAAAACAAGAGCACAATATATCCATTTGTCTCCCATTACCATTATGTTAAACGTACAAACTTCATAAATAATTGATTCTATATAAGCTACCTTGGCTTATAACTCTGATAAACTATACCACAAATGAAACTCCTCCACTAAATAAGAAAGGGGGTGTAAAATACATCAATCCACACTAGTACTCTAAGCAAAACACACTAAACTTCCGTGTCTATAAATTACTGAAGCTCCAAAATTGTAATAGCTTGCTAATACCAATTAACCAAATTTCATAAGCACAAATACATAATACCCTGCCAAAGTGTTAATTCTAGAAAAAAAAAATGATGACTCAGCGACCAGTTTATTTTAAGATTTAGAACAGATATGCTCTAAAGTGCAGGTTTCTGATTTCTAAGCCAAAAAAAAGGAACAAGCAAAAAAGACATGCAGATAGAAGACAGGGTGATAGACTCATAATACTTCCAATTCAACTAGGCTGAGATTGCCACTACATATTATAGCAAATTGACACATCACGTAAACTTATGTTATTAGTTGTTACATTACATAGCTCACATCCTTATTCAAATTCATACATACTGTCCAAGTATAAAGTAAGTTTCTAGGAGCCAAGACTTGCCACAAGGTATTAAGAGCATAGAATAGAAAAATGTTTGATAAAAAAAATGATCTAACATGTTATCCATCCCAGACCACCCAAAACCATAAGTGGGGGGAAGGAACTTAACTAAAAAGGGAACAACAATGCAGAAAAAGAAAGCCGAAACAGTAGCATCGGCACCATCAGTTGCCACGTCTTAAGCTTCAATTAAAAGAACTAAGTCTTATGTAAATAAGCATGAAACAGCATGAATGTAATAAATCCATACTTCCTACTTAACAATATAACCTCTTAACAACTCCAAGCCATCACTACTCCACAGTTAAGGCATAAAGTTTATACATTCACCCCAAATTTTCAAAATTGATTACATTACAAGCATAATTCATACTTCCTACTTCCTGAACAACAAATTCCCAAAATATTAAATATATTGAACACATATTATCAGATAATTAGCTTAGACTTCCTTCCTTGAATTAACTAAAACATACGTAGTATTAACATCATGATAAGGGCAACTAAGAATTAGAATCATAGAAAATTCAATCAATACGAGTGTTGATTATAACAATTTTTCAATTAATCAACAATGCACTCGTATTTTTCAGAAAAAAAACCCCAAATATAAAAACCTAAAATAAATTATATACAAATTAGACAAAGAACGATTAAAATTAAGAAAAATAACGAACAAAGATCACCAATTTTGATTAGAGAAATTGAATACAACCAAATTTTTAAGCAACAAAAGCATCAATAAATTTGTAAATTGAGAAAGAAAAACAGGGGAAAACGTGGTGATTATAAAGAAATTAAAAGAAAAGAGAAAGGAGAACGCGCTATACCTGTAATTGCTTGCTCCTTGAATCTTGAGAATTAAGGTTTGAGGAAGAAAGATGAGATACTATGTGAAGGAGATACGGAGTACTACGACGCTTTGATAGGGGAAAAAAAACAAAACCTCTAAAACTGCTTTGAGGTGTTTTAGGTTTATTGTTGTAATTTTTACAAAATAGCTGAAAAGTTGTTTTTTTTAAGCTATTTTACCAAATACTGTTTTGTTTTGTTTTGGGGGTAAAAAATAAAAAAACTAAAAACTGCCAAACGAATCCTGAGTGATTAGTACGAGTAATTCGGTAAGACTCCCTCTTTCCCTAATTGTTTGCTCCACTTTCCTTTTTAAGACATGTTTTTCCACTTGTATTCTCTCTATCTCTCTCCTTATTAATATTTGTGTCAACTCATGTACATTATTTTTAGCCAAAAACTTAATAAAGTAGATTTATGATTTGGGATAGAGAGAGTAACTCCGTAGTATCTCCGTAGTCCGTAGTATGGCTGTATGATTGTCTGGTTGAGCTTCGTGTTACAAGTTTGAACCAGAAAACACAGATTTCTTTTAAAACCAAACAAAAATGGCGTAATCAGGTCAATTTTTCAATCATCATCTCTGCTTCTCCCCCACAAATTCCACCCATTTCCTAAATTCTTTCGCTTTCACTCTACAATTGTTTACCCCTTTTTTCAAACTTCAAAGTTTTTAACTTTCAGCAAGAATTTGCAGCTAAATCAATGGCGATTATGGCTTTCAAGACATCAACCTACTCCTCTTATGGCCGCTTACCTTTCTTTCTCTCTCCTCCTCAGGTTTCTCCTTCTCTAATTTCATAATTGGTTTCTTCATTTATTTACAACATACTGTGATTTTGGGTTTTTAGTGCGCTTAATTTCATGGGGTTTTAATGTTATTTACATTCAAGACTTACACTATAAATTTCTTGTTTCTTTGTATTGTGGGTATGTGCTTGAATTCAAAAATTCTTTCTGGGTTATTTAAGGTAGTAACTAGGATTATGAAAGATGAGAATTGGGATTTAGTGTAGGTTGATGTTGGTTTATTATTGGATTTTAGAGCAAGGAAGATTTTTGCTGGTAATTGTGTCATTGTATAAAAGCTTAAATTGTGCTTTTTTTTTTTTTTTTTTTTTTTCTGTACAGAAATAAGCTATATGATGTGTTAATTTGGAACTGTATTATGGATTTAATGATCTATGTAATTGTCAGTTTAAGCTTAATAGGATGCATATGAGTATTCCGTTTGTGTTTCAGCCCCGAACTAGCGAGCTGTATGTATTTAGTTGGATTCATTGAAATAATTAGGAAATACTGACTTTACTATGAATTTGCACCATAGCAAGCTAACATCAAGTTGAGTTGAGTGCAATTGTTGTCTATCGAATTGATTATGTACTCGTAACTCGTAAGTTCCTCCTCGTCTGCTCATAAGAGTGGAAATTTTAAAATATATATATACATGTATTTGTTGTCTTGTGATTGAGTACTAGCTTGGAATGTAAAGTGTTCCTAGGATTAAATTGTATGATCTTGCAAACTACTCAAAGGTATGCTTGTGAAATCCACATTTGTCATGAATCACTCATTTATGACATTAAGATAAGATACAAGTAATGTTTGCTCGGATCAACATTCATTGAGTGTATGCTGATAAAGTGGATAAAAATTTGCTCGGGTCAACCTTTGTAGAGAATTTATACAAGTCATATGAGTTTACAACACTTTAATTAGTTTTTGGGAAATTTGTGCTTTGAATCTATAATATGTTAGTAAGATTTGTCTCAATTTATATTTTCATAATATTAGTTTTTAATTTTTTTTACATATTAATTATTAAAAATATAAGTGATTGAAATTACGCATTGGCAAATGTGAAATGAGAAGCATTGCAACTAAAGAAAATAGAGGAAGAAAATGGTGGTTGTAAATGGTTTTCAAATACTTGTAAAGATACTATGCAGAGTATAAGAGCATCTTATTTTACTATATAATGTTAAATGTCATTATACTATTATAGGGATGTATGTTTTAGAATTGGTATGAAGTTATACTATGTATTTAATGAAATTGTATACTAGTACTTTATATGTACTTCTAATGAGTTTCAAAACTTTCATATATCTATTAGCAATCATAAACTGAACATTGACCTAAAATGTTGAGATCCTACCAGTCTATCCAATTGATGATTCTATGTAGGTTCATGGATTGTATGTGAATTGTTGGATTTATTAAATTTGGGTTAGATTTATCAACAATGCATTCATAGTCACCCTAAGCATGGATAACATTATTAAAAGTTCTTAAACTCATTGTGTTTTGATATCCTCTGTTTCCATTAAGTATGCAGTTTAGGAAAAAAGATTATAAATTTAGATAAACTCGACTTGGATAGCCGTTTTGATAGAAGACTTGTGATCAGAATGATTTCTTGAAGCTATATGGGTTGTCTTTCTGTTATTTGTTCTCCTTCTGTTTTGCAATCAAATTCCACTTTCTGATTCTCTATCTTGGCTGCAGTTGACTACTACATGTGTCTCCACATGGTCCAAAAAGATCCCCTATCACCCCCGTCGCATGATAGTTTTTTCACAGTATTCACATTCACAAGATCTTTTTACATCACGTCTTCAGGGTACCTTTCCTTCTCTGTATCTAACATGTTATCCACTTTTGCTTAGTTTTACAACCTGTCTCTTTTTGTGAATGTTGTTCACCATAAACTCATAGTTGTTTTGACGTGCTGTTATGCTTACTGTCAAACTTTGATGCCTACATTGTAATACTGTTTGATAGCATACATTATAATTCTCCTTAATTTTAACAGAGCCTTTTGAATTTTGGCTAAGGACATTGTCCAGGCCTAGAATTTAAGACGAATAAATGAAATCATCAGATTACAGGGAGCATAGATTGATTTTTTTTTTTGGGAGATGTGTCATATTCCAACCCCAGAGTTAAAACGGGCATTGAGTAAGAGGGAGCATTTCAATATAGACCAACTCATAGAGGGGAGGGCCGGAGGGGTGGGGGAAACAATTAAAGCAGAAGATGTATCTGCATTGGAGAAGCATAGATTTTGTGGTTGTAGTGTGTAATAAGACAGATATTTGCTGGAAGTATCATAATTAACTATGGCAGTGCTAGCAGAGCTGGAAGGTTAAAGGGGTCACTGGGTGTGGGGATTTTTCTTAGTAGATAGAAATGGTTTCCATTTGGCTGGAACTGCGGGAGAGTGGTGGAAAACAATGAGGTGATGGTAAAGGCAGGCAGGAATATGGTAAAAACAAAGCCTTAGTCCCAAAATATTTTAAAAAATAGGAAAATGTTATACATAGCCCTTAGGGCTACATATAAGCATTAAATTTACACTTGAAAATCGTAAAAAGTTAAGAAATCATCAAAATATAAACACTAATAACACTTATTTACGCGTGTTTTTGTCATGAATTTCTAATTTTATACAATTTCCAAGAGTATATTTAATGCTTATATATAGCCCTTAGGGCTACCTATAACATTACCCTAAAAAATAAATGTGGCATAGTGTATCAGGGGATTAATTCCCATCTGGGATTTCTATGACTCTTACCAAATATCTCTAAGACTTCATCCCAAAACTTTAAAACCTCGTAAAGTTTTGTGAAAAAGTCTTAGAGATATTTGGTAATAAGTTTTAGAGATATTTCATTGCTTTGCACGAAGGTTGTAAAGTTTTGGGAAGAAGGCTTAGAGATATTTGTCAAATATTAGTAGTAAATTTTGTTAGCACCCAGATATGAGTTTGACATATGATGCTAGGGTAAGGTAAGAATATTAGTGTTGAATTTGGTGTTTATTCCTCACATGAAGAGTCGTGTACTTGATTGCAAAAATCCAAATTGTTATGTAATTATGTTATCCTAGATTTATTTATGTTTTCATGTTTTCCATATCTCTATAGAACGTATCCAAAACCTGCCGAAACTTGTTGAGGATATAGTCCAGACGTCCATAAATACCGGTCCTCGTGGAGCCTTAAGACTAGCTCAAGGAGTCCAGGCAGTTGTTGGGGTGGGTGGTGAGTGGCTAGCAGATGCCTCAAAGGTACTGTTACTGTGTGCTGTGTTCATCCTTTTTTTTTTTTAGTTTATTGTAAATCACACTTGTTCTTTATGAATTATTCTTGTCAATAATCCAGGAAACTAATGCTATTTCACTTAATGCAGTGGACAAATACGTCAGGTGGTTTACCTGCCGAATTACAGCTGGGATTGGTTTCTCCCTTCTATCTGAGAAAATTGTTTGAACGCTTAGGGGCAACCTATATCAAATTGGGTCAGGTATGGCAAGGATAATACATCTGTTGGTCTGAATATTACTGGATATTCTCTCATACGTCATGTCACTCTCTATCTGCTCATTAGGATTATTTAATGCATTTCTTTTTTGCTCTGTGCTGTGAGTTAGCCCTTTTCCCTAGCTATGATATTCATCTTGCTTAGTTTGTCTTTTATTGTTTAGTTCATAGCGTCTGCACCTACACTGTTCCCTCCAGAGTATGTTGAGGAGTTTCAGAAGTGTTTTGATCGAGCTCCTGCAATTTCTTTTGAAGAAATCAAAGCAATATTGAATGAAGAACTAAAGAGGCCGATTGATAGTGTCTATGAATATATTGATCCAACACCCCTTGCATCAGCCTCAATTGCACAGGTTCTATTCTTATCTTCTTCTTCTGCCAGGCTAATGTGACTAAAGACAAGTAACAAAAGTACAGAATTATGTCCCCAGGTTCATGGTGCCAGGCTAAAAGGCTCTCAAGAAGATGTGGTCATAAAAGTTTTGAAACCTGGGATAGAAGATATATTAGTAGCCGATCTGAATTTTGTCTACGTTGTGGCTCGCATTTTCGAGTTTTTAAACCCTGAATTCAGCCGCACTTCACTGGTAATACATAGAGCAGTTTTCTATCATTTTGCAGCTTTCGATTCTGGTATTTGTACTTTGCTGAGTATCTTTGTTGAATGCATGAATGATTCCAATGGAAAATCACGCCGAGAAAGATCCAACTTTTTGAAAATTATATGATTCTACTCGATTCCAAAATTTATGTAACTTTTCAGCTTTTGACTTACACTTACTTGGAACATGATTGAGAAAATAATCCTATATTTTAATAGAGCCAAACTATTACTTGCGATATTATCACTACAAAGTCCATGAACTCAACTTGATCATGAAATAGAATTCATTGAAGTTGTCCTAATGATATGAGGCTTTGGCTAAATGTAGGTTTATCCTGGTAAAAGCATCATAATTTCTCCCTGTTTTCTTGTATTTAAGTTGGAGGTGCTTTAAATGGTTTCTCTTTCGGTAGTTTTTTTTGC